TTGATGAGGGAAATGGCAAGGAGACGGGTCTACATTCACGAAGTCTTCAGATCACCTGCAGTTTATTCACATGTTGTATTTCAGATAATTTGCTGTGGACACTTTGAAGTTTAGGGCTCATGGTCTTGGTTTCTGCTCTGATCTTGCGTTGTCAGCTGTGGAACTTCATGTAGCACGGATGTGTTCATGTCCAATTCAGCTTAGTTTACCACAAGTAGGATCAGTCAAGGTGTAGAAACATCTCAGAGATTGATCCAGAGAACGGAGGAGTCTGAACATAAAGTATCATAGTAAAGTTGTCTGTAATACTTATGTCATTGATATTTCAGTTTTTCCTTTTTAATACATTGTAAAAATTCCAGGGAATGTCATTGACAGAGACAAGAACCATTCACTGAATGGACAGTGCTTGTTTATTAACAGCAGCCAGCATAAATACCAGTTGTACATGAGGTCCATGATAAAAACAGCTGGATTGAGACAGATTACAGTTTACTTCTCTTCACTTAGTCCCCTTAACAACAACCAAACCTCTGGCTTTAGTCAATGCATGCTTAAACTACCCAATCAGAGGTGAGGAGGACTATAGCCTGAAGCAAATAAGAGGGAACACTAGAGGTGGGATTCAGAAGGTCAGTGTAACTGTTTTTAAAAGTGAAAATGGTAAATATTCAAACCTGTACATATGTTGAATAATAATTGTGTAAACTTAAGTGTGTAATATTTTAAACTGTATAAACACCTACATTATAGTTTTTAGTATAATAAATTATAATAATAATGTAGTAATCTTAACCCTAACCCTAACTCTCATAATAATAAAATACAGTAAATTTACACTAAACCATCATTTGTTGCAGGTACTTTTTGGTTTATTTAGGTTCTAGTTCTTTCTCATAAAATCTTTCATGTTCAGATTCTTAAATGTTCGTTCCAGGTTGTTTGATGACTAGAGAAATGGTTTACTGCAGATGTAAAAATCAGGTTTCAGGAATCAGTGTGTGCTGCTGTTGACTAACAAATGGGGAACTGACAGATCTCACACTGTAAAACTGCACTCACAACACAAATCAATGAGGTTGAGAGTGTCCTCTCGGGGGTCTGTCCTTCTGTACATCTTTTGTCTGAATGAGTCTTTAATCTTTTTCCAGTCTCTCTCTCTGACACCAGCTCGTTCCTCTGACTCTGTTTGTCTGGCAGTGAAGTGAAGCGCTCATGTTGTTTTCTATTAAAACATCAGATGTAAGAAATCACTGTTCTTCTGAAATGAATACTTTACTGTGCTTCACTGAATTCCAGCAGGAATCTGTGATGGAGATTACTTTTATGTTTACATGATTATAAATATAGATGGTTACTTGATAACTCAATATTTAAAGTATTCTTTTAATTTTACTTATTTTTATTTAACTGTTTATGTACGAGGAAGCTTATTTTTTATTTTGAA